TGCGTTGACCAACCCACATCTTTGGCCTCACCACTCAAAACTGCTCTAGAGGAGTTGTACACCCCTAGCTACCAGTGCTATTCAGTGGCCTAAAATAAAATGTTTCGCTCCGGATGATTGCTGCAAAGTATGACCTGTGTTTTGATTTAGTGTGCTGATCTTAAAGGTGCATTGAAAATTTATAATACTCCGATTGATGCTCCTGCTGTTGTGGAGTGACTCATGTAGCCAGCTATGGCTGCAGGGTTTTGGTAGTCCATGTTGTTTTTCATTTATTGTGAAAATTCTGTCAGTTCCTATGATCACTGTTTCATTGCTTTATTTTGGTGATTTCGAAAAGTTTACTGGTTTGGTCCATGTTTGTTGTAGTACGGAGTAAGACTGATGGCCTTAATCTAAGTTGTCTTGTGGTTGTTGCTGTTTGACTTGCCTCCCACTGGGATTTTTGTACACAGCATTGGTGTACGGTGCTTTTTCTGCAATATTTTGCTGTCTTTTCTTGGATTTTCTGTTTGCACTTGTTTTTTGTTTGTTGCGGTTGCACCCGATTCAAGAGCCGAATGGCTCACAGGGCTATACCTAATAAATTAACTTGAACCAACATTAGTGCAATGAGAAGCCTTGGCACAATTTTCATGCAGGACTCATTTACACTCCCACAATGCTTTGTTAAAGTTTGGTTTTCCAAAAGTCACTCCACGTTGAGCCCACTGCCTCAAAACTACAGGTTTCTTTTATCAGGTAAAAAAACAGAGCTATACAAATATTTTTCAGAAGGGACTTGGCCACAAATGATAGCTCAGTGGCTTTTGGAAATTGGCAACGGCCAAATACTCGGAGGGGCATGTTTATAAATGTTGATATTTTGCAATTTCACATCGCACGTTGGACTAAACCACCAGCAAACTAGATGGTCACCACTATCTGTCCACACCGTTGCCGTAATGATCTTAATTCTACACATCCAAAGCAAACATGCAGCCAAAGACAACCAGGTAGTATCAAGGCCTCCTATTGGTGCAGAGGCCTCCATTAGGTGATTGATCAGGAGGCCAGGTTTGAAGGGATTCAAACTGAAAAAGGCAGGAAGCAAAGGTTGAGGTTTGAGGTGACGGTTGCACACCGTTGAGACGCTCGACGTGAGAGAAGGGGGCTCCAAAGAGCTAAGAGGAGAGCACAAAAAACATGTCAGGGGAAGAGGCACTTCAAGAGTCAAGCAAGTGGGGCCGAATTGCTGTGACAATAAAAAAAGGCTGCAAGGTCGTCCATATCTTTACACTTCCACCAATAAGAGCTTTGAGAAACGTTGATTTAAGTTCAATCCCCCACCCCCCCACACACAAATATGAATGGAGTCATCTGCATATTCTCGGTGTATAGTTCGCAAGGGCTTGGGACAAGGTTAGTTTGGAGTTATGCGTCACTCCAGGAACTCAATTTCTAGTCAACGGCCACGCTGCGAGAAATCTTCAATACCACGGATCAGGTGCGTGGCCGCTGGCACGACTATTTTGTTTCCAAGATCTGCCTAAACCAGATATGGGGAAAAAACGGCCCGTGGGCCGTATACGGGCCGTTGGGCTTTTTAATCCGGCCCGCCGAACTTGTCCAATTATTATTATTAAAGAAAATGTTACCTTCTTCCTCTAATGCTCCCATTTCCCCAATAGATAGCGCACTTTGACCGGGAGTGTGGTGTACAGTAGAACTTCTGGTCACGACCATAATTTGTTCCATAACTTTGGCCGCAACTCGATTTGGTCGTGACTCGAACCGAATTTCCCCATTGGATTGTATGTAAATACGATTAATCCGTTCCAGACTCCTACGAACTGTATATAAATATAGTTTTCTTAAAGATTATTAAGCACAAAAATAGTTAATTACGCCATAAAATGCAGTGTAATAGTAAACTAAATGTAAAAACATTGAATAACACTGAGAAACCTTGAACAGAGAAAACTAACATTGCCGCATCAAGGTTTAGAATCGTTCAACAAGATGATTGTTTCGTCTGCTACATCAGTCGGTCGATTCTGAGAGAGAGAGAATATTCGTATGAGCAATTCATATTTCTATTGAAAGTAACTTAACAGTAATATTTGGGTACAGTATTGTTTTTGGAAGCATTCACCGTAATATCGTATGCACGTTTACTTCACCGCATCATCGTATGAATGATGCGAGAAGAGATTAACGGGTTCTTATGTTAGCGATTTACGTACTCGGCGCTTTCGCTCTCTAAATTACGGCTTGAATGAGGGGGAAGGGTATGACTACACTCACAAAATTAATATCTTACTAGGAATTTTATATAACAAAAGTTATATACATAACTGTTACGCTTTGTGTAATTCAACAAAACAAACAAAACTGTACTCCGAGTTCTCTCCGAATTTCACGAGTCCGTTCTAGACCTCACAGTTTTTATAGAGTTTTAAGCACAAAAAACATAATTAAAGTTTGAAAAATCATTAATTATACAAACTTCTCAATAATTTCTTTCTTCACTTCGATTAAAATTTTCTTTAAAACTTTCTTCTCACCAACATTACCACCCATTACCAATTTCTCCGAAGGCAAGTTTGTAAAATAATGTATGGTACAGACAGCAGACATCTGTGTCCGGAGATCAAAAGCAAATTTGAAAAAGTCAGTTTATCACGCAGGACTGTGACTCGCCGTGTGGAACTGATTGATAAAAAATATAGCCAGTCAATTAAAAAAATTAACCCGTAAAAACAAAGTTTTTCACTATAAATCATTTATATGCGTGGCATCGGTTTAATTTTATTATTCATTTCTGTTTTTCTTGAGTAAGAGTTTCATTTTTACCACATTGGTATTTTAAATTAAATATGATTTTTTTCCCTAAAAAGTGGAAAATTTTGGAAAAAAATTTTCACGAAAATAAATTGTCACGCACAACGAGTCTGTGTGCAAAATGTCAGCTCGATTGGATCACGGGAAGTGGGTTAAAAAACGACAGAAAGATTTGCACGGTCGTAAGCGCGCAAGCAAGCAAGCGAACTTAATATAAAGGATTTCAAAAAAGTCTGATTCCTTTGAATTATATTCACTAGCACTGGATGAAAGTACGGACGTAAAAGACACTGCTCAGCTCCTCGTTTTCATCCGAGGCATTGACGACAGTTTTGCGATAACAGAGGAGTTTTTGACCATGGAGTCCCTGAAAGGAACAACGCGGGGAGAGGACTTGTATAACCAGGTATCTGCTGTCATCGAAAGAATGACGCTACCTTGGAGTAAACTTGTCAATGTCACAACGGATGGATTGCCAAATTTTATTGGAAAAAATGTTGGGCTACTGAAAAGAATCCAGGATAAAGTGAAAGAGGAAAACCCTGTCCAGGATCTTATTTTCCTTCACTGCATCATCCATCAGGAATCCCTGTGTAAGTCTGTATTGCAGCTTAATCATGTCGTGAATCCAGTCGTAAAACTTGAACTTTATACGAGCAAGGGGACGTCAGCACCGTCAGTTTATTACCTTCCTGGAGGAAACTGATGCGGATCATCAGAACATGCTGTACCACTCTCGTGTCCGCTGGTTAAGTTTGGGGAAAGTGTTACGAGTGTGGGAGCTGAAAGAGGACATCATCGCATTTTTGGAGTTGATGGGGAAATCTGACGAATTCCCCGAGCTAAGCGACAAGAACTGGCTTAGTGACTTTGCGTTTGCTGGACACATTTTCACACATGAGCTGAATGTGAAACTGCAGGGGAAAGATCAGTTTGTTCACGACATGTACAAACATGTGAAAGCCTTCAAATCCAAGCTCACTTCGTTCTCTAGACAAATTGCGAACAAATCTTTTGCTCATTTCCCCACACTTGCCATGCAGGAAGAGGCACCGCGAAACGCAAAAAAATACAGCAAATCATTTGAGGACCTGCACGGAGAACCTACCGTAGGTTCTCCGATTTCGAAAACATTGAAGTCACTTCAGCTGGTGTCCTGTCCCCTGTCACAAGACCCTGAAACAGCACCACAGGAGCTGCAGTTGGAACTGATAAATCGTCAGTCCGACCCGTCCTAAAGGAGAAGTTCAACTCTGTTAAACTGAATTACTTTTATGCTTCACTTAAGAGCCACGTTTCCAAACCTCCGGAGGACTGCACAGAAGATACAGACTTTGTTTGGCTCGACTTGTGTGCGCAGACATTGAGTCATGAACGCCAACAAAGCCCGTCACAGATCAAAGTTAATGGATCAGCACCTCATCTATCCTGAGAACTGCCACAACCAAACTAACTTCAGACTTGGATGCACTGGCAAAAATGGGAGATCACTGTTCCCACTGAGCGAGGTTGGAGCCAAATCTCCGACAGCCTGCGTGGCTGCTCCAACCTGTTAATGTAGGTAAAGTTCAAGTGAGGTAATTGGTTTGGCGCAGGCCTCAGATGTTTTCATGATGTTTGATCAGTCACGTTGACATGTGTTTGTATTGTTCGTGCAATTTGTTAAATTGCCTTGCAAATAAATACTTTGCTACCTGTTAAAGGCCAAATACTTTCATGTAATGATTTTTACATGTCATTTATATTAGTTCACACGAACTCCATCCACCTGTTCCTGGCCCCTCTGTCAAATTTTAAAACCCATTGTGGCCCGCGAGTCAAAAAGTTTACCCACCCCTGGCCGAACCATTTGAGGGTGAAGGGAGCGTCAGCCCTGTTTCTACAGAAATATATTTAGGGATGTTAACCATTATTTAGGGTGCTATTAACTGGGTGTTGAGTGTTACCATCAGATCCGTTTTTAAACAGTACGAAGCCCGATCCTCCTGAGATGCGAGGTCAGTGGGGCGCTCGTGGCTCCTTTGAGCAAAACCAATATATTGAGGCTCTTCCATCAAGACCACCACCATTGCCCGAAACCAAATCTGCATCACGAGAAAGGAACAGCATCATCCACTGCTTGCCGGTTCAACTTGAAAAAACACACGAGTCAAAGCCCAGGACCAGTTTGCAGGCAATTTTATTAGTCTTCATTTTATATATAAACTAGCAGAAGTACCCAGCGTTGCCCAGGTGAAAAATATATTTTTTAATAACCTTACATATATACACAGATGGGCTGCTACCCCTGCCCCCCCCCCCCAGCCATGATCTCCTCAGCCGCTGTGCAGTAGTATGTACGGCCTATAGTGTGGTGGGGTGTCGAGGCCTAGTACCGTGCAGAGCCTCCGGCCTCGCCTAAATTGCCCAACCAGCTGAGGCTGGGTACTGGGGCCGTTACCCCCCCCCCCCCCCGCGCATTACAATAATACTGTGTAATCGCTACAATTTTATTATTTACCGACCCTATAATAGTAATTGCACACATTGTGGTGGGGGGAGGGGGGGGGGGGGAGTGAAGAGGACGTGAAACTGATGAATTTACCTCAGTCGCGTGTTAATGCGTGCACATATTTTTAACAGGAATTAAAAATGGCGTCCACCCTGCAGCGAATGCGTCGCTACCCGTTGCCAGGGGCAACCGCCGTGGTAAACCAAATGGACCAATCATGTTTCGCAAATCCCTCACATTTCGTCCAATGAAACTGCGTATGGTCCGGCGACACAGACAGACTTGCGATTTCATATATAGATTGATTTGGGCTTATCAGCAGAAATGGGTGGGCCACAGGGCCCCTTGGGGAGGAACACTCCTGGAACGGGGGATGGCCGGCCACGAGGATCCCCGTCCACAAAAGCTTGGAAGTCCATATTCTTGGGTTTTTTCGGTAAAGTCGCGTAGGTAAAAAAATTAAAATTATTGAAAGTAAAATAAAAATAAAATATAAATCACGACGTTTCAGAGGCAACACAAGCCTCTGTCTTCAGGTGGAGCAGTCACAGCACGCTCGCTGCATCAAGTAAATGAGAAATTCCAAGAGATCTGACCCCGTATATATACTGGTTGAGGGGGGAGGAGCCAGGGCAGGCCCCTGGATTAGGCGTGTTTTATTATTATGGCAAGGTTGGTGTGGCTGAAGCTCCGGCTTGTCTACATAACTGGCTGAGGGGGGGGGTGCCAGAGTTGTTAAAGTGCAGCTGCTGCTAAATGGTACCGGATCCCCTGCCATGTGGATGTAAAAGCAAAAAAGCAGGTCAGGAAGAAACAGCCTCCTGCTACGTTGCTTGGTGGGTAAAAATTAAAGCAGGAAACCAGCGTGTGAAAAAAGCTAAACATGATAAAACAAAACTGGCCGTCTATCAGTAAACTGTACAGTAACTAAAGAGCAGTTGTCTGTCAAATAAGACGCTTGGAAGTCCACGCTGGCGCCTTGGGTCTCGTGAAGATTCCATGATCTTGCGCACTTCATCCGGGTTATGCACCCTGCATTCGTGATACAGGAACACTTTCTGCTACAGCAATGCACCAATCACTCTGCTCAGTGTTGCAGCAACATAAATATGAATCAAAATGATGTGGCCATGACGAGCCCAGTCTCAATCAACATCCAACAGTGACTATGCGTGCTCAGTCGTTCTTGCAAAACAGTGCCACGGCAAATGGCACCGCCTCAAGCCACAGCGGCTCCCAGTGCACGCGGAGACGCGTCATGGCACCACATTGCTCGAGAAACGTTTGCTTGCAGTTCTGTCGCCGTGGAGGGCACAAGAAACCCACCGCCAGGTAGAGCCGCATGTGCTTCACGAGCAGATTCTGGAGCGTGTACTTCCTCATGGAGACACTCCCCGCGCCTCCTTCACAGTTGGCGCAGAACTCGCACACAAAGATGTCCATCACAGCGCTCAGATCCTCCATGGCAGCAGCAGACGAAGGCATCACGAGAATCCTTCACCCAACACGTGTACATTACATACCAAGATAAAGCTCGCCAATAGCCTTTTTTGGGTGCCCAGACTTACAGCACAGCTCAACTTGCAACACCCCCCCCCCCCCCCGCATAAGACTTTCTTGTAACAATTAACACCCTCGATAACCAAACTACCGACGGAGGCGACGAGTCTGAGCAAGTCGTGTGCAGACGCAGCGCCATTAGCCCAACTACTACATTTTGAACAATGTAATCTACCAAGAACCTTATTTGAAACATTTACCAGCAAGGCATTGCAATAATCGATTCGCTAGAGAACAAGTGCATGGACGAGCCTCACAATCAGCAAGTACTAGTATGTTGTGCAGTCGAGCACTGTTCGGAGGTTAAAGGTTTTTCACAACCTTGACACGAGCATCGAACGGAAAGGGATGGATCAAATATCACCAAAATAACCAATCATGCTTCGGGCAGACGTTCTGGCCATCAATAACTAGGCTTAAAAGTCCCAGTTTAGTTGTTGGGGAGCCCCGACTAAAATATAATTCAATCTTATTTTAATTTAGCTCTGAACATATTTTTCCTGCAACCGTGATTTCAGTTGAAATAATTTTTCCGATGTAGAATATGGTGTTAGCTGGAGGCAAACGTGGGAGTCATCCGTGTAGCAATGGTAGCGCAGCCCTAGAAATTCAGTGCTCCACAGGGTCATGTTAAAAGGCTAAACAAAGCGGGAATAAGCACCCATCCTTGGAAGTACCCTAGACTGCACCAAAACCGACAGGGCTTAAAGCCACTCAGTGAAATATGGCTTGGGGTTTTCTAGCCGTTAAATTAAAATCATTGCTAACAAGCACCTGTTAAGGCCAACACTACGCCCAGATGTATTTTTATCCTAAGCAGTGATGTTTATACACCACATCCTCATTTTTGAAGTTGATGTAGGGAAGGCCCAGGACTGGTTAAGACTATCCTCAGGTGCTGACCGATTGGGAATCAACTCTGGTCGCCGGGTTCACGAATCGCAGCACGCAAACCGCTACAATACCCTTCAGATCTCAAACATAGGCGTGTACAATCCACGCGGCCTAACTGCAGACCCTACACAACACTAATATTGCGTTCAGTGGAAGACAAGATCTGCGAGATTAAGTGGCTTTATAAACCAGGAGACAATTTAAAGTAGATGCCTCAATTTCGCCCCAATGCTCGAGAACAGGCAGCGCAGAGAAGATTCACAGCGAGAAAGTCACGGATGTCTTCACCGCACTCGAGACGCCGAAAGGAGACGAAACTCACCGGGGCGTAGAGGAAAAAGAGCGTCGAGCAGCAACCACTGACTCCGCCTCCCGCAGGGTTTAAATCCTCACCTATGCTGGTGACGTCACTAATTACGCCTTCACGTGGGCTGGTGACGTCGCGCATAATTGTTTGCACCTGTGCTGTTAACAATCATTACATCGACATGTTTTATTGACGTCACATGACCCATCGAGTCTCCGCGTGTGAATCTGACCAATTCCGTGCGTCAGCTAATTCAGACGAATTCCCTGCCCATGCGGGGTAATGTAAGCGGGGGCGATGATAATTGATGATGATGACGAGAATGAAGGTGGCTGAGTTTGTCTGTCTCTGTGATGTTCACTATTGTCGTGAAGGCGTCACTCGCTGTTCTGTTGCCAGGAAACTTGATCACAAATCCAATGCGAGTTTTGTTATTCAGCGTCGATTCGCCTGAACTCTCACCTCGCCACGTGATTTGCCAGCAGCTCGCGTCTCTCACTGCCGCGCGTAGACGCAGTTCTCGCGTTAACGACTCCGATCACCGCAGCGCCACTCCTCCTGCAGTGTCACCGAGTCTCACTAATCTCTCCCAGTATCCTGCGCCGAGATGTTTGGCCAGTTTCACATGGCACACGTGGTTCCCAATCATCTGGGAATGCCCCAAACGCCTGGAATTCGAACGCTTCACAAATGTCCGTGGTTTCCCTCCCATCTCCATCGCAATTCGATGCCGAGCTGTCGATTCTTGACGATAACTTCACCTGCAATTGCTCGTGACTCGAATATCCACGCGTGTTTACAGTTGAGTGCAATAGCCACCTTATATCTGTTTAATGTTCATGTTACTTGTAATTATACCACGATCAGTCTAAAATAATCGAATCGACTCAGGCTACAGAGAATTTATAAACCATTAATTATGAAAATGCAATATTTGCGGTTTTCATGGGACGTAGTTGTTTTCCTTCAATCACTTTTTAAATCCTTTATATTAAGTTCGCTTGCTTGCTTGCGTGCGTGCGACCGTGCAAATCTTTCGGTCGTTTTTTTACCCACTTCCCGTGATCCAATCGAGCTGACATTTTGCACACAGACTCGTTGTGAGACAATTAATGTTCGTGAAAAAAAATTCAAAATTTTTACACTGTTTAGGGAAAACAAATTAAATATTTAATTACCAATTGCTTAATACTGGCAGACAATCATCTGACCCATAGGTGGCAAGCCATCTCAAGCCAGAGGACGAGAAGACTCTAGCCGCCACGCATATAAAGGATTTATAGTGAAAAACTTTGTTTTTACGGGTTATACTTATTAGCTTCATTGCTGTAAATTACTTATGTTGCTTAGATCACTCTTAAAATCCAATAGCTCAACTGCGCCATCGTGTCATCACCAACGTCATCATCTTAATTACAGCACAATAAGAAGGACGTGCATTAGACGCTGCTGGCACGATTTTGCTTTTCCATTTACACTGCCACGTTGCTTTATATCACAAAGTTCGGTTTTCCAAAAGGCACTCAACGTTGATCTCCATTAATTTTTTTTCAATAACATTGAAAATTGGAACAACTTTTTTATTTTTTTACTTTTACAATTTTAAAAATGTTTACCAATTTTTTTAACGTAAAATTTCGAACAACAATTGTCCATCTAACCTTCGAGATTTTTGTTTGCATTGCTCGCAGGTAAAATGAGGTGCCCAGGGTTTGTCTTGATTCCTGACAGGCATGCCGAAATATGCCTTGTCGGCCTCACACATCTTAGCAGATGCTTCCACAGAGTAAATTTTCGCTCTTGTCTTGATAAATTGGCTGCAGACATAGCAAAATGCGTCTACCAGATGCTTGCAGCCTCTTGATACCATCTCAGAAAAATGCAGATATGTATCCACTTACCCAGCTGGAATTAAACTGAACTGATCGGCTTAAGGCCCCTGTATTTATACTACTATTAATATTACTGAAAAGTTCTAGAAGTTACTCCAAGTTTACTCAGCACTAAATCTATCTGGAATGTTCTGGAAAATAGGTACATTTCAAAATATAAATGTCCTGGTCACAAAAGCAAAGTTTGTGGAGAATAATAGCCATTTTCTCTACTTTTGAGGCATAAGCAATTAGGAAATAACACTTACTACCCAGAAACAAAAAAAAGTGTTACACAGTGGTATCTGCGAATGCCCCAAACGCCTAAAATTATATCGCTTTGCAAATGTCCTTAGTTCCCCTCCCATCTACATCGCAACTTGATGCTGAGCTGTCGATTCTATATGGTAACTTCACTTGCAATTGCACTTACCTCGAATATCTTCACCTGTTTTCAGATTAATGTAATAGCCATCTTTTATATGTTTAATGTGATCAGTCTAAAATGATCTACCCGAGCAGACTTCTGTTGCAGGGAATTGTGAAATATTTTAGATGTTTCGTGTTGTTATTGTTCTGATTGCCCTTTGCTTAATAGCTGTTCATTGTTTTGTGGCTGAAATTCTCGTTACCTGGGTTATGTTTTCTAATCAGGCCCTCCATGGTCTCTTGAGTTCTCACCTAGTTACACAAATTGCACTCGACTCGAATGCTTTTTCAACGAATCTCTGGATGTGCCGTGTTGATTGACCATACTTCACCAATGTGATAAGTCGGTGGTGAATGGGATGTGCGAGGGGGGAGGCAGGACCTTTTCAGTTGTCGCGTCATACCCCTTCAATACCAGCACAGATCTCCCATTTTCTAGTCCCTCTCATGGACACCACACGGGGTTTATCGTTGCCTGCAGCTGCACGTTGATTGGAAACGGAGTGGCACCGAGTATTGGAGTAACCGGAGCTGCGGGAAACATCACAACCCGAGTGAAGACTCTCCGAATTCCACCTTCAGCAGAAACACTTCTGAAGGCGTCCTCGAGGTCAAACACCTGGGAACCCCACGGCAATTTACGTGCCAGATCTGCCTTACTTCTCCACGTTGACCTCACTTCCTCTGTTTAAATCATAAAACTGTTTATTTTAATAGGTAAGGCCCACTTAACTATTGTGTTCTTTTTCAGAAGCACAAATGGTAGCTCAATGAAGTGGCTTATCAAGCGGAAATTTATAGCCGCCAAATACTCAAGCGCATGTATCAACATGTCTAGGAGAAAACCGAAAACCCGGAAAAAAAATCATGGGGAAGACAGAAACGCAAACTCTACACATACAGCAGGCGTCAGGGTTGGGATCGAACCCATGACCTCCTGTATATCAGGCAAGGTCGTTAACGTCTCGCCACCGGAGCACCCCTTTCACAATTGTTTACAACTTAAACCTCGCTCGGGCCTTCAAAACAGTCTGCGATGTTTCCCAGCATGTTGCTCGCGACCTTTGTTCGGCTCATTTAAGAGCCCAACTTTTGGGCTTGTTGATTATCTCTTGCAGTTTCACATTCATTCATATCCCACGTTGGAGTTTCATCAGAAAATCAGAGGCAATACCCTCTTCATTTTCCCGTGCCTTTGTTTCCACCAATAACATCGTTGGAAAACAAATGCTAATGCCCGGTGACCAACGTTTGTTAAAGTGAGATACCCCCTCGAATAGCGAGTCTTCATCTGCATATCCTTGGTATCACCCCATTCCCACCGAAGTTGAAGCTCCTCCATTTAGACATTCAACGGCCTTCTCGTAGCACAGAGCTTTGGACAAGAGCAGTCTATAGTTATGCATCGCTCGAGTAACTTTGTATAGTGTGAACGGGCACGCTGGTAGAACACTTTCCAAATCCGAAAGCTCAGGTGTGAACTTGGCTGCTTTAAAATTCCGATTCTTTCCAACATATGCCTATACATCGTTAATGAAAAAAGGGGAGAGGGCATTCCTTCACAGTTGGCTCAGAACTTGTGCACGAAGATGTCCATCACAGCGCTCAGATCCTCCATGGCGGCGGCAGATGAAGGCATCACGAGATTATCACTGAACACAGTGTACATTAATTTTACACAAGATGAAGCTCGATCTCCGATATAACCTTTCGACTGTTAGCAACAAGAATAGCACACGAGGGGGTAGATCGCCAGCACCACGCCCCGCGACCTTTGCTTCCCACGTTGAGGGGTGCACACACCAAGTGCTCATTTGCGGTCACGTCGACCTAGAGAAGGTCCAGGACTCGTTAAGAAAAAGCTTTATCTGGTGTTGGCCCCAATTGGGAATCAAACTCGGGTCGCATAGTTCAAAATCGCAGCGCACAAACCGCTCAGATCCACACCACAAGCGTGTACAATCCACACGGGTTAACTTGGCGCAGTGACCCTACGCAAAAACACGTATTGCGTTCATGAGAGAGGACTCGAGAACCGCGAGATGACCTGGCTTAACAAACCAGGAGCCAGCCATGAGAGCAAATGCCTCAAAGGTGGAGTCTTCTTTTTAGGTCCGCCTTTTGGCGTCATCTAGTCGAGTGCCAATTGAGACGAGGCTCAGAAGAAAGCTGTCTCTGGTGTGGACCAATCAGTTTCAAGGACAATGCATATATTTTCAAATTGTGTTTTTGTTTGCATTTTGACTGCAAGTATTGTGGTTAATGCAGACAAGATTCCTTGTAAAAGGTTTCAGTTATGTTGCCAGAAAAAAGGGGAAACCCCTATTATTATATTGGTTGTGTTAGTTAGATATATTAACCTGTTAACGTAAAGATATTTAATCTGTTAATGTAACACCAGAGAGTCGAAAATAAATACTAAATATCACAGACAGTTATGACTTAACTTGGTTTATAACGTCCTTCCAATGATTGCTCAGTCGTGATATTTTTGCAATTTTTATTCACTTTATTTTCATTTTTATTTTCATTATTTTATTGTTATAATTGTTTTTATTTACGCGACTTTACCGAAAAAACCATAGAATATCAGTTTCTATGTAATTTCTTTGTTCACCAAAGTTCCTGTTCCTGACACCATTACAATCATTGAAGATTTGGTCCAACAATCACTGAATGCTCATGTACCGGCCCTGGTTAGACACTGCCTCACCAACACTTATTTCACCTGGAATGGAACATTCTACAAACAAGTTGACGGTACCCCAATGGGTTTTCCCTTATCTCCAGTTGTAGCCAATGTTTTAATGGAACATTTTGAGATAGATGCCATGCAGGCATCCACCCTACGTCCTGGCCACATGGCCTACCAGCTTTGGACCAATTCTTCAACCACATCAATTCCATATGTAACGGGTTCCGGAGACACTTGTAGATGTAACTTCTTTATTACAATACAACACTCCAACAGTCCTGATACTCTGTTACAGCCTAGGTACACAGCCTAGCTACACAGCCTAGATACTCTAGATACTCTACTCTGGCTACGCTCGCCCTCACAAGGTCGTAGAGTCGGGAGTTCCAGAGTCCCACCACTGGCTCTCACAGCATCCCAGGGTCTTCAGATGGCTGGTCGTGGGTCTTGGGTCTTGAGTTACAACTGGACCCCGATCGTCCAGGGAGCTCTCCTTTTATGCCTGGTCCAACGAGGGGTGGGGCCGTGTGCGCCACCAGACATCCCACAGAGCACACACAGCCCCCCTCCGTTGGCGGCGCCCAGGGGATTAAGCGCCTGGGAACTCAACGCCTGGCGCCCAGAGGCTTAAGCGTCTGGACCCCCTGGGAACCCAGCGCCTGGCGCCCAGAGGCTTAAGCGTCTGGACTCGCCTGGGATCCCAGAGCCCCCAGCAGCCCCTCCCTTCTTATGTCACTACATTGCCCCCCTTCTACGTAGCCTCCAGCCGTCCCGGCTGTCAATAATTAGAAAGTTTAAATTAACTAAAGGGAGAGAGAGAAAAAAATATGCGAGCCTCAACAGGAAAAGAAAAGAGAACAAGAAAGCAACCATAAAAACCATAACCAACCTGTACAACTCTACACTATATACAAGCATCAATCAACAAGGTGAAGCAATGACACGTGAACAAACGACCCGCGGCACACCTAGCCCTCCTCGGGATCCGCATAGAAAACGGGGAATTAACAACAACAAATATACAGATTCCGACGTGTTGGATGCACAACCAACACCGGTAATCGAACCGAAATCACACAACCACCGCATGGATGGCAGGGATCCACACCACTCTGCCAGCCTCCCATCAGTCAGGTGGAGAGAAGACGAAGACCAACATGTCGAGCATCCCTCTACACACACTTATCTGGGCGTCTGTCTACGTCCCGGGTCGAGAAGTCGTACTTCAGGGCCGACCCATGTACTGGGCAAAGAAGTCGCACTTCAGGGCTGCTCCAGTATCTACATTTTAAAATATATATAAAATTTACATGACAACCAAAATAAATCTGCCTGCTCCTGTCCATAAATGGTGGCCGCACACGCGAACCGCATCTCCAAGGCATCCCATGCTTGCGTCCCAGCAGCCCTCAATGAGGACCACCACCGACATTACATGTCAACCGTTTGCACCCCCCGCCTT